GCGGAGAAAAAATAGCTAAAAAAAGATTTCACAGACCAACATTTTCTTTTCGAGATTTTTTTTGTTTTAATACAGCGAATAACACGGACAGTTTCGGTGGGCACTTGAAACTACTATTAGGACCTACGACTTTTTTTTTCTATTAGTCTCTTCAGAACTCGTGGCAGAACTGAAACTTTGCCGGCTTGTCAGAGGCCACTGAACAGGCATGTAAATCCTCGGCTACACCATTCATGCAGTTCCCGAGTCCTTGGGGTGAGAGGCTTTCTTTGGCCTTTTAAGGTTCGGCTTGGTGGGTCCGTTTGTTTGGATTCCTGCACATAAACATTAATTTTCCTACGTAAATACCAGAATAATCCAGCGCTGGAAGATGAAAGATGAATTTGTGACAGGTCCTCTGAAGAAAAATGGCAACAGCTTTCTTTATTAAACTCCTTTTGCTACATCAGCGTATTAAGAGAACCAGTTGAATATTGATGAATTTTTTGAGGCTGAGTAATATGGCTTGGGGCCCAAGAAAGCGAGGGAGGGCAGGCTTAAGTATTTACACAAGTGAACAATCTTCAAATATTTTTTCAAAGATGGTGTCTCAAGGATTTTCTTAGGACATCTGTAACAAGGCCGCTCTGGACATGGCTTCTCACGTATTAGGCCCTTCCTGACTGAGGGTGATAAAAATCACCTTAAAAGGTGGCCTGAAGGTCATTTGGGGATTAAAGGGGGGACACAGCTCACTGATCAGAATTCTGGGGAACTTCCAATAGGGGAGTCAAACGTTTCTCACGGGGCAAATAGGAACCAGAAAGAAAATGCACACCGTGTGACTCACACCTCCACCTTCACTAAAATGCTGTTTTAAAGCTATTGTTTTCTGGAAAATAACATGTAATTTTTTTCTTACATTTTCCCCAAGTAATAGTCAGAAATTACCTTGATAAATAATTGTAGACAGCGAGGGAGGAGAGGTTGCAGAAGCAATTTGAAGGGTCTTGGGTGCAGCTGAGAAAAATAAATCTGCCTTGGACTTGAAACATTCAACTGGAGATATGCTTGCTCATCAAGGCATTTGAAATAATTTTGGGGGAAATATTTTTTGGAAATTATTGTTGACTGAGTCTTTGGATGTTAGGGAATCAAGTTGAACTGAAACTTTTTGTAATTATAAAGAAAATTTCTAGATGTTGGAGTTTTTAATTTTAAATAGGAATGCTTTTTTATGATATGTGGTGTGTGTGTGTGTGTGTGTGTGTGTGTGTGTGTAAAAAGGCCTTGAGTTAGAGAAACAGGACTTTCCTTTGGTTGTAAATATTCAGAAGCTTTCGGAGAGATAAAATCAGGATACAGTTACAGATTTAACAGAAAGAAAACAACTGCGAAGACCCCCACCACCCAGAGTTCAAGCAAAAGCTAAAAGGGATAGTAATTATCATATTAAACTGAAATGATAGTGTCCTTTGGTACTTTCTATCTTACTTTATAAACTCGGTTATGAATGATTTAAATAAACAGTTCCTTGAAAATCTTAGAACTTGAGGGGAATTTTTGAATCTGCACTTCTACCACCATGATGTCACCAGAGA